CATGGTGGCGTTGGTAGACAACGTAAACGTAAATATGGTGGCGTTGGTGGACAACGTAAACGTAAACATTGCGGCTTTGGTAGACAACGTAAACGTTAACATGGTGGCGTTGGTAGACAACGTAAACGTAAACATTGCGGCGTCGGTAGACAACGTAAACGTAAACATTGCGGCGTCGGTAGACATGTAAACGTAAAACTGGCGGCGTTGGTAGACAACATAAACGTAAACCTGGCGGCGTTGGTAGACAACGTAAACATGGCGGTGTTGGTAGACAACGTAAACGTAAACCTGGCGGCGTTGGTAGACTACGTAAACGTTAACATTGCGGCGTTGGTAGACAACGTAAACGTGAACCTGGCGTCGTCGTTAGACAACATAAACGTAAACCTGGCGGCGTTGGTAGACAACGTAAACGTAAACATGGCGCCGTTGGTAGACAACGTAAACGTAAATCTGGCGGCGTTGGTAGACAACGTAAACATGACGGCGTTGGTAGACAACGTAAACGTAAACCTGGCGGCGTTGGTAGGCAACGTAAACGTAAACCTGGCGGCGTTGGTATACAACGTAAACGTAAATCTGGCGGCGTTTGTAGACAACGTCAACTTAAATCTGGCGGCGTTGGTAGACAACGTAAACATGGCGGTGTTGGTAGACAACGTAAACGTAAACATAACGGCGTTGGTAGACAACGTAAACATTGCGGCGTCGGTAGACATCGTAAACATTTCGGCGTCGGTAGACAACGTAAACGGAAATATGGTGGCGTTGGTAGACAACGTAAACGTAAACCTGGTGGCGTTGGTAGACAACGTAAACGTAAGCCTGGCGGCGTTGGTAGACAACGTAAACGTAAATATGGTGGCGTTGGTAGACAACGTCAACGTAAAGATGGCGGCGTTGGTAGACTACGTAAACGTAAACCTGGCGGCGTTGGTAGACGACGTAAACGTAAACATTGCGGCGTTGGTAGACAACGTAAACGTAAACATTGCGGCTTTGGTAGATAATGTAAACGTTAACATGGTGGCGTTGGTAGACAACGTAAACGTAAACATTGCGGCTTTGGTAGATAATGTAAACGTTAACATGGTGGCGTTGGTAGACAACGTAAACGTAAACATTGCGGCTTTGGTAGATAATGTAAACGTTAACATGGTGGCGTTGGTAGACAACGTAAACATAAGGCGTCGGTAGACAACGTAAACGTAAATATGGTGGCGTTGGTAGACAACGTCAACGTAAAGATGGCGGCGTTGGTAGACTACGTAAACGTAAACATTGCGGCGTCGGTAGACAACGTCAACGTAAACCTGGCGGCGTTGGTAGACAACGAAAACGTAAGCATGGCGGCGTTGGTAGACAACGTAAACGTAAATATGGCGGCGTTGGTAGACAACGTAAACGTAAGCAGGTCGGCGTTCGTAGACAACGTAAACGTAAATATGGTGGCGTTGGTAAACAACGTAAACATTGCGGCGTCGGTAGACATCGTAAACATTTCGGCGTCGGTAGACAACGTAAACGGAAATATGGTGGCGTTGGTAGACAACGTAAACGTAAACCTGGCGGCGTCGGTAGACAACGTAAACGTAAATATGGTGGCGTTGGTAAACAACGTAAACATTGCGGCGTCGGTAGACATCGTAAACATTTCGGCGTCGGTAGACAACGTAAACGTAAATATGGTGGCGGTGGTAGACAAGTTGGTAGACAACGTAAACGTAAATCTGGCGGCGTTTGTAGTCAGAGTCAACTTAAATCTGGCGGCGTTGGTAGACAACGTAAACATAACGGCGTTGGTAGACAACGTAAACATTGCGGCGTCGGTAGACATCGTAAACATTTCGGCGTCGGTAGACAACGTAAACGGAAATATGGTGGCGTTGGTAGACAACGTAAACGTAAACATTGCGGCGTTGGTAGACAACGTAAACGTAAACCTGGCGGCGGTGGTAGACAACGTAAACGTAAGCATGGCGGCGTTGGTAGACAACGTAAACATAACGGCGTTGGTAGACAACGTAAACATTGCGGCGTCGGTAGACATCGTAAACATTTCGGCGTCGGTAGACAACGTAAACGTAAATATGGTGGCGGTGGTAGACAAGTTGGTAGACAACGTAAACGTAAATCTGGCGGCGTTCGTAGACAACGTAAACATGACGGCGTTGGTAGACACCGTAAACGTAAACCTGGCGGCGTTGGTAGACAACATAAACGTAACCCTGGCGGCGTTGGTAGACGACGTAAACATGGCGGTGTTGGTAGACAACGTAAACGTAAACATAACGGCGTTGGTAGACAACGTAAACATTGCGGCGTCGGTAGACATCGTAAACATTTCGGCGTCGGTAGACAACGTAAACGGAAATATGGTGGCGTTGGTAGACAACGTAAACGTAAACCTGGCGGCGTTGGTAGACAACGTAAACGTAAATCTGGCGGCGTTTGTAGACAGAGTCAACTTAAATCTGGCGGTGTTGGTAGACAACGTAAACATGACGGCGTTTGTAGACAACGTAAACATGACGGCGTTGGTAGACAACGTAAACGTTAACTTGGCGGCTTGGTAGACAACGTAAGCGTAAGCATGGCGGCGTTGGTAGACAACGTAAACATGACGGCGTTTGTAGACAACGTAAACATGACGGCGTTGGTAGACAACGTAAACGTAAATATGGTGGCGTTGGTAGACAACGTAAACGTAAAGATGGCGGCGTTGGTAGACTACGTAAACGTAAACCTGGCGGCGTTGGTAGACAACGTAAACGTAAATATGGTGGAGTTGGTAGACAACGTAAACGTAAACCTCGCGGCGTTGGTAGACAACGTAAACGTAATCATGGCGTTGGTAGACAACGTAAACATAAACCTGGCGGCGTTGGTAGACAACGAAAACGTAAACATGGCGTTGGTAGACAACGTAAACATAAACCTGGCGGCGTTGGTAGACAACGGAAACGGGAACCTGGCGGCGTTGGTAGACAACGTAGACGTCTTACGTAAACGTTAACATTGCGGCGTTGGTAGACAACGTAAACGTAATCATGGCGTTGGTAGACAACGTAAACATAAACCTGGCGGCGTTGGTAGACAACGTAAACGTAAACATGGCGGCGTTGGTAGACAACGTAAACGGGAACCTGGCGGCGTTGGTAGACAACGTAGACGTCTCAAACTTGTGGTAAGAAGTGATATAACGGATTACCCTGTTTCCTTTACAGAACTTAATAAGGAAATCGAACATGAAAAAAGGTTAATGAAGTAATTGATTTGTTGAATTTGACACAAAAAAAATGAATATTTATATATAAATAGTCGAAGAAACTCTTGTCTTTTTTTTTGATATATATATATATATATAGAAAAGTTACCGACGCTCATAATGGTTTTTTTTTTGTTGAAAACTATATCTGCTGTAGACGTCAATATTTGTTCCATTTTAGGTACCTTCAAGAAACAAAAACAGGCAGTTTTGCTCTTTCAATGATAATAGAAAGACGTTTAATTTTGTGAACCGCCAAAATAATTAAGACCGATAAGAATGACATAGTTACTATGAACAGGAAAAACCGTCTATACCCTATCATATCACCCTTCGTCAAGTATGAATGTAAAATGTTGTTTCTAATGAGTTTTAAAGCTGATGAATATGACTTTGTTTTGAATTTTTAATTTTCAATACATTTTAACAAGCAAGAAGTGAAAAAAAATCTTACTCTTTAAAAAAAAGTTCTTATTATTACTTTATAGGAATTTCTGCCTTGATGACCTTAATTGATAATAGCAGGTGGGTCAGGACAAAAAGAAAGATGCCAAATCACAAGTTCTGACCTCATTTGTCATACCTAATTTGTCATAAGTAGTTGTTTTGTAAAGGATCAAACGCGTTGTTTACAAATAGTTGTAACTGATTAGAAAAAGTGAGCGCCAGGTTTGAGATCAGCATTGTTTTGGTCAGTGGTTGGGGGAGAGGTGAGAGGGAGGTGAGGTTTGGGGTTATTTTTGTTATGATCAGTGGATGGGGGAGGTGAGAGGGAGGTGAGGTTTGGGGTTATTTTTGTTATGATCAGTGGGAGAGGGAGGTGAGGTTTGAGGTTATTTTTGTTATGATCAGTGGGTGGGGGAGGTGAGAGGAAGGTGAGGTTTGAGGTTATTTTTGTTGTTGAGGTTATTTTTGTTATGATCAGTGGGTGGGGGAGGTGAGAGGAAGGTGAGGTTTGGGGTTATTTTTGTTGTTGAGGTTATTTTTGTTATGATCAGTGGGTTGGGGAGGTGAGAGGGAGGTGAGATTTAAGGTTATTTTTGTTATGATCAGTGGTTGGGAGAGGTGAGAGGGAAGTTTGAAATTAGGTTAGTTATGATCGGTGGTTAGGTTGAGGTGAGAGGGAGACGATTTTATATTAGTGATTGAATACTAAAGTAATCTGTCATAATTGTGAGAGAAGTGAGAGAAAGGTTTTAGAGTGGCTACTGAATACTCTGTCGTGGTAAAATAATTGCCCGGTGTTATACATGCTATCCGTATACGTTGTCGTGTAGAACAGAATCACAATGCATAGTTAATTATATCAAACCGTGACTACGTTTAGCTATAACAAATATAATTTATGAAATATATAAAAGCTCAGGTGAAGGATTGCGCAGTTCTCGGGTAGGGGTATAAGAGAAAACCCAGACGTATTTACATGTCACACATTATAACCCAGCTACGCGGTATTCTGTCTAAATACCGTCTGTACAGAAAGCCAACAGAGTGTTATCAACATACATATCACAGGTATGAACAAAGGTCTCTAGATTTCAGAGTAGAGCTTCACTATCGGTATGCATTACACTCGTATTAGTTCTATTGTCTGAGAGCAGCCATAATTAGTATTTATTGTCACAAAGTAACCGGGCCTGTGTACCGTGTGATTAGGTAAACTTTAACATGTGTACACACCTGATATAATCTTGAATGTGTTCTGTTTTTAGAACAGGAAGTTAGGTATTTCCACTAAGGTGTCCCTATCGCGTTTCCACTTAAAGTAAAATAACATTCCCCCGTCCTACTAGGAAGTGTTAGAAGCGGGCTGTGTGTATATGTACTCGCTACATATTACTCGTATATTTTCAGTTTAAGTAAGAAATCTTCCCTGTCGTATGTGGAAGTGTTACCAGAGTGCCTTGTCACCCAGGCTGATATACAGGTATGTACTGTTACACTTCCACTGCCATCCTGTTATCTTAAATTGTACCATATTGCTGTCCTCGTCATGTCTTACGTGTCACGCTCCTGTTTATATCCTCACGTGTGTGTTATTTACCAAACCTTCATCTACATACGTCTTCTTGTTTATTTTAAAACTATATTACAGTTAATTCTGGAAAGTATTTATCATTGACATAATCTTGTTCTAAAAGTAATGGCTAACCGATGCATCAGATTCCAGAGACGAAGAGAATCCATTTGTTTTAAAGTTGTTGGGTTATTATTAACATGACAAGCATGTGTTTTAAGGCAAGCCAACCTAACATGTATGTACCTGTAGGAGCTATCTCTATACATTTAGAAGATGTAGCATTAACCGATTGATTTACTTATCAATTTAGAGAATTTATTATAAACAAATGGCGATATATTTTGAAATTCTAGTTATGAGATATGTTATATATATAACATCTAAAGACATATCTAATTCATTTGAAGATATGTTTCATGCAAAAAAAAAGATTGTTTAAACTTATATGACATATCTTTAAACTTTTAAGAGATATTTTAAATGTAATGACAGATATCTTTAAATTTGTTAGAGTTATCTCTTATTGAAATAGACAATTGTGTTTCAATCTATTATATTATAGAGCTTTTCTGTTTCATTTAAAAGTATCTCTAATACATTCAAGACATATCCTTGGATATTGAATGTTGGGTTGGCTTGCCAAAAAACCACGGTACTTATACAATGTATACACCATCTAGTGACTAAAGGTCATAATGGACGTTCAAGGTCAAACAATTCACCCGTGTTACCTGACGCCATACACTACATTCCTATATATCAATATATTCACAATAAATTGCAGGTGTGATAACAATCCAAACCACTGCTATACATTTGACTAGATAGATGGCTGTACCACCTAAACAGAACAATAATGTACAGTTCCTTGTGGAGGGAAGGCCTTAAACACGCCTGGACTAGTAGCTTAGATAAGCCCTAAGCATGCTAGAGTATACCTTATGTCGGCATTAAAAATAGAAGTAACAATCCAAGTATGGTGAACTGTCTACAATCTTATGAATTTTAAGGGATGTTAAATGCTTGTATTCGTCTACTTTTACCATATACATATGTGTGTGTATATATCAATATCATACATATTTCAGGTACGAATCTAGATTTATTTTATTGTGGTTGAGGTGACACCCGAAAAATACTCCCACGCGATTTTTTGGAATACAGATACACGATAGGCACAGACTATACTCTGATTATAATCCTCTGCTGTGAGCTCAGTACATTTAAAATATATATATAATCATATCATAATTATGACATCATCATGGACACACCACTTCAGTAGTGCTTTTGAATTATAGATTTTAGATATATATTCTGCATTTAGGCATTGTTGACATATTTTATGACAATATGATTATATCATTACTGTGATTGAATACTAACACACGAGATAACTTTAATTTTTAGACATTTTCTCTGAAGTATGCCAATAAAATACCTATTCATCATTGGCTACAATATTATATACACTATAACCTTAAATATATAACTCAGACAATTACACTGTACCGACGTGTACATTAGTAACATTGATACTTTCACTCAGACAATTACACTGTACCGACGTGTACGTTAGTAACATTGATACTTTCACTCAGACAATTACACTGTACCTACGTGTACATTAGTAACATTGATACTTTAACTCAGACAATTACACTGTACCTACGTGTACATTAGTAACATTGATACTTTCACTCAGACAATTACACTGTACCTACGTGTACATTAGTAACATTGATACTTT